GTAACAATATTATGGACAATATAGTAATATGTCCCCAGTTTTATTGCTTTTTAATAAAATGCTCAGTTTAGGCATTTTACATTTCAAAAAAGAGATGAATTTAAAAAATACAAATCAATCAAATTTTCAAATTTTTGCTCGTTCATTATTTTCGTTGCAATTTTTTTGGCGACAGGTCACTCATTTTCAATTACTAATCATTCAGTAGTACTGAAAACCACCAAGTGTTCGTTTTCAAACTCCAATTTTAGAAGTTAGTTTAGTTTGAGTTTTTTTCTGTAAAATTTTGTCAAATTTTTTAGTTTTAAATTCCTTTTATTACAACGTAAATGTCGGATTTGGGCCAAAACTTGAACAACTCTGAAATAATTCTTTGATATTTGCTACCTGAAGTAGAAATGATTTCAAGTGCAGTGTGATGCTATTAAGAATCACACAGTGCAATAAAATTCAGAAAGCATTATTTTTTTGTCAAGGATAAAAATTGCATATCAATTTTTTGTGTGGTTTTCAGAACTGTTCCGTACAAAATGCAACAACAATGTTAGCACAACGAAAAAGCAAGTCTATGCACTCATATGTCCATTCTTACTTTAATTTCAGAGGTAATTTGAGAAAGTGGAAAAATCGCAAGGTTAATCGCTTAAACTCGTCAAATTTCAACAAAATTTTTGCAATTGAAAAAGGTTCAAACCTTACTGAAAATCTGGAAGTGAATTTTTCGCTAAAAAGCTCAGTGTTTTTCGTTTGCAACAGAGATGCTGTATGCAAATTTCCGATAAAAAAAGGCAAAGAAAACGCTCGATAAAATGATGTGAATTTTTACAACTGTGATGAATGCTTTGTTTGAAATAAAATATTTTTTGAGCTAAACTTTTAGATTTTTCTTCTTGCAAGCAAAGACGCTGGCTGGTTTCCATTATTTTATTTTTTGATTTATTAAGTATGCCTGAAAGGATTATTGCAGAGTTTTTTCATTGCGTATCAAAATAACGAATTCGAAGCTATTAAAAACTTTTTCATCTCTTCAAATACTTTCTTGTACAGATTTTTGATGAAAAAAATTAGATTTTATTTCAGTTTAGTTAAATTGTGCAAAAATTCTCAATTATTTGCCTGAGTTTTTTATTTTTCAACAAATTGTTACAACAATATTGTGGATTAATTAATTAATTAATTGCTCATGATAATGATTTGAAGTATTGATTCAAATCATTTTCATGAGCATATTTAAGAACTAATCATTCTGTTCTTAATTGGAAATTGTCCAATTTATTACTTGCACTGATTCAAATTGTACTATAGTATGTATCTTGAAAAGATCGAAAAGATCTAAGAGATCACTGAACTTTTAAAAATTTGATAATATTCCTCTGATAACTGTAATTGCCATCTTGATAGTTATGCTGTTTAGTGCACTATCTGAAAGCACGTAAGCCACATGTCACTTTCTGAGTTTAATTATGTCATATCAAAGCTACAGTAGCTATGTATGATTATTATAATCTTGGCCATGTTATTATTTGTGCCATCAAAAATTCGTAGTTTTATTATGAATTGTGTTATGACAAAGCATCAAAAACCATGATATCTTAAAATCATTAATATTAAAATATCATAAATGATAACGATTGTTTTCATCAATTGTTGTAGCATGCAAATGGGTTGCGTTGATTTCTCGCTTCAGTGCTTTAAAAATGAAAAATACTTATGATGACATAAACATAATTTGCAGAGAGTTATTCCGTCCTCACTGCGCGACTTTTTCCAAAGATTCCTAGCACAAAGTTTGTCTTTCAGATGCGTCTAAAAAAGAGATTTGGTGAGAGTGAAATCGCAATCATCACAAACTTACACTTACTTTTTTATCACTTTCAATTTTCACTTATTCCTAGAAATGATTCTTTAATGAGAGATTTTACAGAATGTCATTGAATTAGTTACAACTTTTTTACATTTCATTAGAGCAATACATTAGAGCAGTGTTACCACACATACAAAGCAAACGGACGAAACATATAGTCTCGTCCGAAACTGATTGATTGATTGTTCAGATTAGTTCAGAACTGATCATTTCAAATAAATGATCCACAAAGCGAGATCCGCACCTTTACATCAGCTGTTTATCAACTTTTATTTTTTTGAAATCCTTCTTGTAGTATTTTTTGTTTACAGCTGTTCTATTTTTCTTAGTAAAAAACCAAAGGTCATGGTAGCACAGAAATTTCGCTAACCTTACAAAGGCAGAATAAGGTTCACTATGCACTGAGAAGAAAAGTTAAGAATATAACGTGGAATATCTGCTTACTTATTATAGAACTGATCTCGTTTGCACGCTTCAGTGCAATGGGCTAAAACTTTAAGGCTTTAACATTCTAATGAAATAAATTCGAATTTCACAGAAATTGCCAAATAAATTTTCAAATAAAAGGTTCAATATTTGCAGGTAACCTCAAGCGAGCAGTTTGTTTACCTGACCTATCTATCCATCTATCATCCATCTATCTATCAACCTAATCTATCTATTTACTAACCGTTTTCTCTTGCTCTTTCTCAATGCACAAAATATGATGGCGTCTAAATTACTCCTAAAACTATACTTATACTATGTGATTACATCGGTATTTAATACGCAGTAATTAGATAAAATTAATTCATCTTCATCATGAACAGAGAATATATATATATATTCTCGGTTTGTCAAGGTGCTGAGCAGTTGACTCCGAGGTGACTCTGAGGGGCTAAGTTCAAGAAACATAAAATGGAGGCAAAAAGGAGAAAGTCGCATCTAGAATCAAAAATGAAAACAATGGAAAAACAAATGCGGTTGGAACAAGCGATGTGAAGGGCGTGAGAGAACATACTGCCAGTGTACCAGAATCCAGTGGCAACAGAATGATCACGTTTGAAGCAATCGTTCGTGGGAAATGAGACCCCACAAACCAAGTGGCCAGGAGAGCTGCTGAAAGCGGTCCTTGACAATGGAAGAATGCCGAGAGGGAGATAGCCTTTGCATTGTTCCTTGTATAGCGAAAAGTTTTTGTGCGCTATTACCCTCGAAGAACTGAAGAAGCAAGCGAATTATCTGATTACCAGTATTGCACGTCAAAATTCAAAGCGCTAGATTTGAACTGGTTTCATAGGAAACTAACCGAAGAACAATCTGTTAGTCACATTGTGAGGACAGAGGAAATCAGGGATTTTTGAAGTACGATGTGGAACCCCGGGATGGGAAGGGAAACGGCACAACAAATACCTGGAAGAATTCGTTCCAGATCATGAAATGCGTGGTACTTTCCTCTTTAAAGCCAAATATGGAAAAATAGTTTCCTATTTGCCCAATTAGAAGGCGGCAGGGCCTAATGAAGTCTTAACTTCATCATTAAGAAGTGCGCCTCCTTGCATTTAGACCTGTACAGAATAGTATAAAGATTTGCCTAGATGGGGAGCAACAGGTTCTATAAAGGTACTACTCACTTGATTCTAAGGGGTGTCCCAAGTAAAGGCAGCGACTTCAAGCCAATAATTTGTATATCAAACTTTCACAAGTTGACAACGACCTGCGTGGCATGTGTCATGGAGCTGGTTGTTGCCGTGAGAAAGCTACTTGCAGATAATCAATTACAAACTGTTACCCAGGTTCAAGGTGCGAAGGAACAAACAATGCTGAACCTGGTGGTTTGCAAGGAGCACGGAAACTAGCTTTGCACCACGGGGTATGACATCAAAAAAGCGTTTGTTTCAGTTAATCACGCATACTTGATTAAGTGCATTTAAAAGTTTAGCATGTTACCGTGGATCAGCAGGTTCCAGAAAAGCATTACATCCAGATGGGCAGTCGTACTGAAGAACAACTATAATAGAGAAGAAATTCTCCGCTGCTATTCGTCCTGTGTACCCGCTGAGCCGTGGGCTCAATATAAGGTACCCAAAGGTTGCGGTATATACTAGTGATCATTAATAATTTTTTGTCTCTATAATATTACTTTTCATTAAACATTCGTATCATCGAAATGAGATGATTTTTTAAATTAATTATAGATAAGTATTTTGTTTTCAAATTATTTAATGCAATTTTTAAAAAAATAAAAAATGAGAGTATTTTTAGCAGTATTTAGTATCGCTATGGACAAAATAAAAAATAAAATTATGTGAGCTATTTTCAGTCTAATATTCGCTGATGTGCTACTTTACAAATCTGTAACATTAATTCATATAAGCTTGAAGTTTCACAAAAGAACGAAATAAGTGTCAGCTTCATATTTTTGTCCTGTTATTCAAATTTTGTTTTTGGTCCAACTGACTTTGGTCATCTGTAATTGCATACATATTTAAACGCTCAGTGCATTTATGAACCGGACCAGCCTATTTTATCATCTTTACTGCAAATATAGACACATTTCTTCGAGAAAATACAACTAAAGCTTCAGATGGAAGATATACCATGTTTTATTACTACTAAAGCACATCTGAATTACTTTTCGAGAAGAGTATTCGCTCTTTGCTTTGCTTATTTCTAACAGTACAAAATTAAGTGGCAACAATTTGATCAACGACGAATTTCTATTTACATAACATCACAAATGCTACAAATATATCTATAGACTTATTTTTTGAGCACAATTTTCAGCACTGATAAATGTTTCAAAGAATACTGCAAAATAACAACTGTTTTTGAGTGCTATTATTACCGAAAGATGACTGAACATAAAAAGATTCAGTATATTATCATATACGAATAATATATTATATGATTTGGTCTATCTAGTATGTTCCATGTAAACTAAGCTATTATTGATAATTGATTCAGTATAGAATGCTAGTCTTAAGGTTATTCGAAGTGCTTTTAACTTAATGAGTGCATATATTGTATCAAAAATTCATGTAGCAAATGTTATTAAAAATATTCAGGAAAAAGATTATAAATCCTGATCAAATTGTATGTTTGAACATCTCTACAAAGAACAAACGTGATATTACAAAAACAATTAAGGTCACGTTTATATGAGTTGATCTTCTACTTCATCATCAACTGTTGGCTCATCATATGTTTCATAAAGCTTGCATTTTTTTTCATCAATAGTCACATGGAGATCTGTGTTCATTATTGCATTGAACGGTTTTGCGTTGTCCATTTCATGGATAGATTTTATTTCTTCGAGTTCTTTTTCCAATTCTGCTTTGTTCCTCTGTAAACGCAGGCAAAGCTCAATTACTCGCCTGATGGGTGCTTATTTTGGACCATTTATTACTGTAGTGAAAATAAAGAAATACACGCAAAAATTGACTAGTAATTATGCAAGAAATTTTTACTATTACCTTACGGACAGCATCGATGTTGCCCATTTTTTTAACTCTATCCATCGGTATGATTTCGGCTTGTCTACAATTGAGTGTTATTTCAAATTTAATCAGAACTGAAAGTGACCTTTAAGACCAAAAACTATTTGCTTAGTGCAAATATAAACCTTTGAACAGGTCAAATCGCAACTGAACCTTTGAACAGGTCAAATCGCAAAAAAGATAGCCTTTCAAATCAAAACAAACTCTGAGCTTGCGACTATCAAATAGGATAAGGCGCAATTTCTAAGTCACTTACTCTTTGTTGGTATTGTTGGTAGATTCATCTACTTGTGTTTGGTCTTCTACAATCTAAGATTCGCAATTTTAGTTATTTTTCAAGGCTTGAACTCTCTTTTATTACTATATTGTTTGATTATTAATCGCTAAATAAGTTGTAAGTAATAATTAATTATTGGGGGCAGATAATGCATTGCTTTCTTACGATCAGCTTGATATCTCACTATTTCTTATACATTAAATAGCATATAATTTTGCTATTCAGATATTTGTAAATCTGTACAAAATTATTATACTTTGCTACGAACTCTAAAGACACGCCACAAAAATTGAACTCACGTTTTTCACTTTCAATAAGCAAAATAATAAAAAAGTTAAAGCTTCTGGTAATGTAGCAGTACTTCTGCACGTAAATTTTAAGCACTTTCATTTTCAAACGACTTAAATGCCTTCAACTTTTTAACTACTTTTGTAGAAAAGGAAATTAAATTCAAATATTCAATTATATGCTAAAGTTTTGGTACGAAGCTTTGACGTCGCACATTTATTTATTTCAGTGATGTTTGCACGGCACTTTCTTATGATTCCAATTTTACGGTAGAAAAAATTTACTTTTTTAATTTTCAAGCGACTAAAAAGTATTCTTTTACCGGCTTAAAATTGATTTCAATAAATTATACTTTTATTTTTAATTATTAAAAAGTAGAAAAAATTCACTTTTTGAATTATCAAGAAGTAATTAGTGCTAGCAGTGTAGTTCTTACAATTGCATTTAAAAAAATGATACATTACCTTTTCATTTGCCAAGTTTTCTTTCGCATTACTTCCATCTTTCTACAATATTAACTTTCAATTTGTTGTTATACTTTACTGATATTTTAAAAACTGCTTCATTTACTTGCATGCGTGTTATTTTCCTTAAGAATATCAATTTCTCTTCTAATTATAAATTTCAGAATTAATTTGCAAACCGGTTTTATCAAATTTGCATTATAATTCATTGAATTGACAGTGTTATTCTTCGAAACAGGCATTCGAGGCCCGACCGCTGGATCAAGGCCCTGCATAGATGCTACTTTTTCTTGCGACTTCTTTTTACAACAACAAGTTTGTAGTGGCGATAGAATGATAAAAACGATAATTAAACTTTGCATTATTTCCCACAATATACACAATAAGTCTGTAATACAAACGCCAAATTCAAAAATTTGACAAGGTAGAATTTTTTTGGAAATCGAAATTATATCACTAAATTTCAAATGCTAATATATTCAATTCATGCTGAGAAGTGCAAAAATATTTTTACGTGTTTATAATTATATTTCTTTGTAATATAAATTATAAATAGTTACTTATACATTTATTTAGTAAAAATATTGTAGAATGCAAGGATAATTTTATTATTAATCTATTGACAAAAAACAGTTTTATTAAAAAGTTATTCCTTGTAAATAGTTTGCTATAATTTGTTGTCGTAACAATTAATTTTTATTTTGGTAATCTTGGTAGCAAAGTTTTTTTTGCCACCTTCAAGTGAACGAAAATATCGCAAATCTATCGTTTCAATGACAGCTGTTGACATAATTTTTCTCGTTGATTTCAGTTTGCCAAGACAATAATGAAACTAAACAGAAGCTATTGTCCAAGCCGCTTTTCAAGATGCTAAAAAATTCAAGTGTTAAACCAACGTCTAAAAGTCTTAAATAAATTTTTGTGAAAAAGAATATGCAAATTTAAAACATTTTTTTATTCAAATTGCATAGTATTTAATATTAATAGCTTATGGATTTGTATGTATTTTTCTTCTAATTGGTAGCCAATAATATAGTTATGAATCTATCACAAGGATAAGCGTTTTCATAATGTGGCTGCAATATAAATTGTCTTTTCTCGGCTAACAAACGAAAATTGTAATATTTGATGAATTCTTGTATCTCAGAAAGAGATTATGGTGTTATGGTTGTTTGGGGCGAAAGATGGATGTGATGTATGCGATTCTAAATTCGGGTCTGACGACATCAGTCCATATACTGTCTGATTCATGTCTGATCCATTTTTGCACCTCAGAATGGGATATTGATGTAGTGGTCATCTGAGGGGCACAAGATATTCAGACAAGTTTGAAATTATTTTTATTGTTGCATTGAGAATTACTCAGTAAACTATTACGCTAGCAAGTGTTTGAGGGATACTACTCTATCCAGTTTTTGCGAGCAAGACTTGTTTTCAGATTTCACGAAGAAATATGTCATGATAATTAAGTTGCATGGGGAGAAATCTGCTGTTTTGGCGTGTTTTGCTGCATTGTTAATATTCACGTACTGGATTTCATTAGCACGATGGCTTTCCTCAAAAGTTAGTCAATAATTAGCAATATAAATTACTTTGCTTCATAATTTTGTTTGAATTAATAATTAAAATTTCCTTTTAATCCTCTGAATTTCATAATATAATTAAAGAATACTGGTACATTAGAAAATCAGTTTTTATTTAAGTTGAAAACGTTTATTTACTGGAAATTTCGAAACGAAGAAGACGAAAGAATCAGAGTCTTAGCATTGGAAGTAAAGCAGGTGAAAGCTGAGTTAGATCACATTTCACCAACTGCTCAGTTTGCTGCTTATTTCAAGAAGGAACGGTATTTGAAAAAGTTACTGGAAGAATTAAATACATTAAGTGAGTCATTTTTTGCATCTTTTAGTTTATACTAATGTAGATATTTTTTGTTTATATTATCGTTGCAAAATTATTCAGTTTAAAAATCGTTTCAATCATTGTTTTTAGATTCGCTCTTTCATAGTTTACGAATTTTGACATTAATAATATATAGACAAGATATTTTTCCAACTTTGTATTTTTTCAATTGCTATATAATTCAGCCTTCAATCGTTTCAAAGTATCTGGTATTTTGTCGACTGTGTTGTTAATTATTTGTGGAATAATAGTGCAGTTAACGGCTATACTGTTAATGATCTATTCGCGCGGTGTCATAATTGGATATATCAATGCCAATTTTTTCTGGCCATTTAATTGTCTGCTGTATGCTCCAAATTTTTCACCTCCATATAATGCGAATAATAATTACAGAGGTAAAAAAATTCCAGTTCCTCATTATTTATTTCAAATTTGATTCTTGTTTTCTAGTAAAGTTTATGTCTCTATCATTGAACAGCTAAAACAATGTACAGTTTTTGTATTTCAGAAACACCAATAACCCTTTTTGCATTTCTATCACTGATAACGTTTGTTTGGAGAAATGCATTTTCAAAATTACGCAACAAAAAAGGATTGAAAATATGATATTGTCAGTGAAAAAATTTAATAATACTCTCGAAAAATGTTTTATAAGTTACAACATGCTTTGTGTTAGAGTGGCAAATACTGCAAATTCTATGTCCCGCAAAATTCTAAGAGTGGTATTTAGAGTATTTTATCACTGACTCAAATATGCTTTTTCTTAATGTGTAGAAAAAGATGGTCCTCCATGTTTTGTTCACTTTTAGAACTTTTGCTGTTTACGTTATTAGATGACTAGAGTAGACGGATCGCTGTATTCCTTGTTTCTGCGAAAAAATTTTCATTTCTTTACTTGCTTTGAACTTTTGGATTTCTGGACTGTAAAAAGTATTATCAAAGCTCATGGACTTTTTGATAAGACCTTGTAATTATTGAATTAAGAGTGAAATAAGGTTTTTACATCTCATTTATCAATTTTTTGACGCTTTGCTGATTTCATATTTACAGGTTATATGAAAAGGGGTGAAGTAAATGTCATAACGGTAATATTTGTAGTTCATTAAAATTGTGTGTTTTCTCTTTTTTGATTTTTGATTTAGTAATTTCCACTTTTTGAATTATTATCTATTACTCGTTATTTCTGGTTTCTTGATTTATGCCTTAGATCAGTTTCAATAAATTTGATTTATTACCTTATGCTTCAATATCTGTTTTCTAAAAAGTGATACCTAAACTTATTCTAGCTATTAGTAGCAACGAGAACAATCTCTTACATGCAATAAGATGTCTCAAAAAGTAAAGTAAAATGAAGTGGAATAGAAGTTTTATTCCTTCTATATTTTTTGGGTGCAAATTTAAAGAACAATTGTATCTATTTTGGTAATTCCTATTAAAGAGCAGTAAAACGGATAAAAGTCGATGTTAATCGCACAGGGTATTTTAGATTGTGTTAGAATTACTTTTAAATCATATGAGAAATAAGCAACGGAAATTTTCTTATGTGAAAACATTTTCAAGCAGGAATTGTGGAAACAAATGGCTCAATTTTATTAGCATCATAAATGGTGCGGAATGAATAATAGATAAATTATAGATTGTCAACAAATTCTTTGAAAACTAATTGAAGAAACGGAAATACTTTCAGATAACACAACAGTAATAACACGTAAGATCAAGAAACCGCCTTGGTTCATACATCTAGATTATGAGAGAACAACTTTTTGAAATTTGCGCGAAAACATATCTTTGACCAACCTGTATTCGTGAGAATTATAGTGATATGTGTAATAGTAATGAAGTATGTATGCATCTATTGCATAACTGTTTCAAATAAAATCTAAGCAAGTACTACTAGTTTTTAGACAATAAATGAAGAAATAAAGCAAATGCAAGAATCAGAAAATTATTTGATAACAAAGAAATGCTTGAATTGTTATTAAATTTTCAGATCTGAAAAATTGATAATCATGTAAACTCTAATAAGTTGGTGAAGTACACTGCAATCATTTAGGAACTGATCACTTTGGAGATTTTAAGTCCTGCTTAACTAATTCAAAATCCGTTCATGAACAAATACAACTTATCTACTCTAAGCAGGTAGTGAATTAGCCTAAATTTCCACTTCTTAACACTGTTTTCAAGGAAAGCATCCCAGATTAAATGACAGAAGGAAAGGAAATCAAGTGTTTCTATAAGATTCTGAAATTGAGAAAGCAAATTGTCGTCATCATAGAAAAAGATTTATTCGATTCATCACGACTAACTATTATTTATATTTGTTTATAAATCCGTCAGACTCTTTCAGGCATATCATATGCTGTGAGTAAGTCTTATAAGCATTTTAACAATGTGAAAGTGAAGACTGTTCAGAAGAGATATGTTTGGATTCTCAAGTAAACATCGACAATAACAATTAAATAAATAGACGGCGAAGAATTAGCAAAGTACTGCATGGATGTATATATCTTGACTGAATTATTTCTTTCTCACTTCCTTGTAAGGAGAGGAACAATATCAAGAACTACAGTTACCGCACTCATATCTTCCTTTTTGACAGAAAACACTGATTTTCATTGGGAATATTAAATTTACAACTGCAAGACAATCTTTCCGATTAGTTAATTACTCAGTGCATTGAAGACAACAAGTTTGCAAGCATAACGCTTAAAACAGCGAAGGTCGCATGGCAGTATTTGCCTAAATGAGCTTAACTGCAACTATTTTACGAATTCAAAAGTGCTCGTGAGTGATTACAAGCTCAGTTTTGTCTTAATTTGTATATGCCAGTTGGAAAAATTAGTCTAGTAAAGTCTGGCTTCAAGCTATTGGAAAAGTAAAGAACGAGAAAGAAGCTTGCAATACATTTCGTCAAAAAAGGAACTTTATAATAAACATTAAGTAGCTAATAGCTAAAGCATCAATTAAGCGCAAAATGAAAATTCGCTAAAATCCAACTTGGATGGTCCCGGAAGTTGCTGACCACTCTCGATAGTTCCAGACATAAATGGAGGCAGTCGTACACCAGATGCCACAATAAGAGATAATGTTTCTAAACCCAACCGTTGAAATCTACCGAATACTTCGATCTAAATTTATGAGGACGCTTACTGAGCAGTCAAGAAATTGACATCAAAATTGATCTTGAAAGCAAAGCCAATGGAATAATCACAAGAAAAATGAAAATAATTATACAGAATCAATTGCATACTGTCTTAATGAAGTCTTGAAATTATCTCTAAACAGTAGAAAAAATTATTGGGAATAAAATTTGAAAATTTAGATAATTTATTAATTAATTTCATTTACTTCAGTTGTCAATGTTCAACACTATTTTCATCGACGAAATTGTTAATTTATCAGATTTTAAAGAGGACTGACTTTGAAAACATTCCACTAACACGTCAATTAGTAACTGTAATGTATTTGGCTGTGGTTTTATCACAATTATAAAGTATTTAAAATTAACTCAACTGCAGAAAATGCAAAGCGTATACACTAACAGATTATGATGAGACTTAATCCAGAGGTGACTGAATTAATGCATTCTTAAATATAATTTGAATAAAAAACTAAAATAGAAATTTTACCTGAGCGATAATTGTTTGCAATTTTTTGGTATGAGGCGGAGATGAATTGCAACAATGATCTTTTAGTGCGCTAGTAATAGTACCACGAAGTTTATCAACTGCTGCATCTGAATTTAACGATTCACCACTACTTTCTAAAATTTGAATAATGCAAAAATAGCAGAAATAGTTTAGTTTATTATTTATAATTTTAGTATTCAGCATGCCATCAGAGTTAATGCTTATCATTACTGAAAGAATGCTGGGTTTAGAATCCGAAAATATTATCTTAATAATTTCTCGATCAAAACTTTCATTTCTTTTGCACATCAAAAATAAAACTGCAAATCATCAATTCAGTTTTGAATTCTTTTACCTTTCGTATTAAGAAACTGCAAAGCAAGCAGCGCTGAAAACGATGAAGGATCCCACTGTAAAAGATGCTGAAATCGCTTAGCCTCTTCTTGAATTAGACTGAATAATAATTTCAAAGGTTGTGGTACCATTGCTATATCCACATCCATTTGTTCCATATGTAGTCTGTCACCTTCAGTCCACCTGTAACTTCATTTGAATAATTTTTTTCATAAAAAATGCAAAAAAAGAAGAGCCTTTGAAATTATTATTATTTATTCAGTAATAAGTGCCATACTTTCTCAATGTAAGAATGTATGTTTAATTAGTTAGTTATCTATAAAAATACCAGATAATTGTATAACAAAAGCAAAAATCTATCCCAATTTAAACAAAATTATGGCACTTATTCATTTAAGCAAGCAAATAAAAGAATGATAATTGCAGCAAAAATGAAAATTGCACCCTGATCAGCGAAATCTGATTGCTATAAGAAAGAGCCATTTTTTCAGAAATTCAAGATATCAATTTATTTCAAGAGCTATTAATGATATTGAAAATGATAATATGTAAATCAAACTTGCGTGTTTAATTTGATCTTAAATAAATTCTGATGATCAAGTAAACAAGTAAAAATGAATAGAAAGAATTAAAATATTAAGACATTTTAATTCAAATTCTGTCCACTTACAGATTATTTCAACAATATTTTTATAGTAATCACTGCTCATTTGAAATTTAGGAATCGCTAAACTTTAAAAAGTGATTAAGGTGCAAAAATGTTATTCTCCTCTATGGACTGGATCACAAAGTTTCAGCTAATAACTTTGATATTACTGAACTCGTTTGCATTTGGTATTTCCTTAGCCATTTAACTACAGTGTTTCACTCAAGCATGAGGAAATGGTCAAGATTTGATTGGAATAGTACCAAGAGCTTTGTTAGCGATGAAATTGGTGAATAATGCAAGAATAATGAAAAAATAATCATGTCAAGAAGTGAATAAAGTGTTGTTGAACAGCTGACCCGTAACAAAGTTTCAGTGCAAGTAAGGCGAAGAAATTACGTTCAATCAGTTTTGTGATATCACTTTGCGAGACCTCAGAAGAATTAGGTATTTTTTCCACGAATAATAGCATGAAACGGAATTCCTCATCCAACGCAGATAATAGCTGTTCTACGCTGCCATTCTAAAGTAACTTACTCATTAATGACTGATAAATTTTGTATTAATAATCAAAAACTATTAATTTTTATATTTTATTCTAGTCAGTTCTTGTGCACGTATTTTGGGATAAACAAATTTGTTAGAACGATAAGTAAGATAATTAATAAAACTCGTGCAATAATGTAATGAAGTGAAAACAGACGTAAATGCTTGGTGTGGTAATTGTTTTTGATTCGAGAAATGCCTTATTGATATGTGTTAGTAATGGTAGTGGTGGGCTTGGTGGATCATCAGAATGCTGAACTTTTGTCTTAGACGGTAAACGGCCACGACGTCCTGATAAGCTTCCATATCGAACAACTTTACAAAGTAAAATTTAATTTGCAAACTATTGAAAAGTAAAGAATGAGCATGACAACTATTGAAAATGTGGCATACTTGAAAACTTTCAGACTAATAAGCATGCAAATATTACTTTATAAGAATATGTTTTCAGTGAAATGACTTTGTTTGTAAGGTAATTTATAGACAAATAATATTTCAGCCCAAGTCTCTTAAGTTGGTTTTATTAAAAATTTGACTAAATTTTGCAATTCGCATACATTTTTTATTACAGGTAATAAAATCAGATGCTGAAATTGAATTTTATGTTCAAATTTTTGTTGAACCCTCAAGTTAGCAAAATTTGTCCAATTTACATATGGCTATGCAATTGTTGCATACATAAATCATTTTCAGTCAAGATATTCGAAAATAAATAATACAAAACTAGAAAGCTTGCCTTCTTTCACCATTCCAACAGCGATGCATTTCTGAAAACGACAATACTGACATCGACTACGAAATCTTTTATCAATTGTACAATTTTTGTTGCCCGTACATACATATTGTGCCTTTTTTTGTACTGTACGCTAAAAAACCTTCATACAGTAATCAGAGTTGTAGCTTGACATGCTTCTTAGTTCTTGGTTCTCAGAAATTACTGTTTGTTTATAATATTACTGAATAATTCTTGGAAGTTTTAATATAAAACTTTATTCAATTCTAAAAATAATCAGCATTAAATTGCTCCCTTTAATTTCTAACATAACTGCAAATTCCTAGCAAGCTTTCAGAATTTTTAGCATAACTTTTATTTTACAAAAATACAACTTTTTCAGGCTACTTTAATTGGTAGCAAAATTCTAATTCAATGGAAGCCATGAATTAATAAATTTAACTATCTAAATAATAACACTGAATGTGAGTAATGAACGTATCACTGTTTTTGTTTAAATTGATCAAGAATTACTTTAAAGAATCCTTTACATCCTTCGCATGTTCGAGCACCATAATGTTGACATACTGCGCGATCATTGCAAACCGCACAAAGTTTATCAGATGATAATGACTCATTGGCAGCAGTGACAGTTTGTAAACCTGATGGGCCACTCCCAAATACATCACTTACATTACTGAAACCTTGCATTAATGATGAATACTCACTGACTATATTATTAATAAAATTTCGCTTTTATAAAAATTTCAGTATAAATACTTTATTCAGTTGTTACACTGCTGTTAGTGCTATTATCAGTATTAGTAATTCATTACTATGATCAGCAGTACAATAGTACTAATAGCAATGATAAAATAAGCTGCTAAAGCAAGAATGAACGGAATTTGATGGCGTCGATAGGAATTTAAACAGAATTTGATGAAACTTTGCTGATACAAATGCAAAGAAAGCAGAGAGTGTACCTTAGTGATGGATGACTAGCACGTCGTTGTTCTGTGGCCAATGCCGCTGGTACTACGGTACTGTACGAAAATTGAAATGGCGTGGCAGGCTGTTCTGTAACATTTATTAAATTTTGACGATTTCCGACTTCAAACGCAGCAAACAATAGTCGTTTGAAAGGCTGTACACAATGATAAAATGATTCCACTGCATTTTTTAATATTTTCTCACTAAAATTTTGCTTCCATTTATGTTTGAAACACAAAACTTGAACTGAATCGATTGCTTTTAATCAAAATTAGAAGAATAATGCAAAAATTTCAGCCGATACTAAAAACTGAATCAGTGAATTGGAATCAGATTCGTATGAAAAAGCAACCAATTCGTTGGTGAGCGGATGGTGGTTGAGTATGACTTGGGTCGACAAATGATGCTGTGGTAAATCCATGTGCTGGAAAAGTTGGTTGCATTAACTCAGGTTGTTGACTGGTCAGTGCTGATCGAGGAAACTCAAATCTGGAAATGCAATTTGATAAAAGCAGGCGACATCAGGTAAAATAAGCTTATTTGGTTTCAAATAATGATTTGGTCCTTTTAAGGAGGTCAAGGGGATAAGTTTACTAGATCCAAGTTAAGTGATGGCACGCGAAATTATTCAGTTCATAGAAAATACAATTTCTCAATAAATTAATGGAAAAAACATCTAAAATTCTAATATAACTTGGTTATATTTGAGTGAGAATTCAAAACAGGATTACTTTCAATATAGTCATTAAAGGCGGTAAACATTCAACTCTAAAGCAATTTATGTATTGTTCATCTTAGCTTATTTATAATTTGCTGAATACAATTACAGTTTTTCAGAATTTGAGAAAACTGCCGAAAATTTTTTATGCACGCTACCGTATACATTAGTATTATTTATTATATATGCGGGCATTATTCCCTCGAATGACAAATTGTTGAATGAAATAATTGTAATGGTATTATTTAAGGCAATGCCAATTTTTCAGACGATGATTGGCAACTTCACATCTGTATAGTGATAAAGCAGTAATGAATTGTCAAGAAATTTCAAAGAATAGAAATCAAATACTAAAGTAAGAGTTGGAAAGTCAATAATTTAAGTTGGAGGTGCGGTGATAATGATCTCAAAAGATACCAGAAAAAATCGAAAGTTCAAAAGGTCATAGTTTTTAGGTTGACTACTTGATAATAATAATGATAATAATAATATTAATAATAATAATAATAATAGTGAGAAATATTTGAAAGATTAACCTTTCATTAACTTATTAATAAATAAAAAATAAAATATTTTTTTAATTCACTCAATTCGGCAAAAATTAAATGATATATTTTTACTCAAATTCTTTTGATAGAAGTGTAATTTTTTGATAATTTCAATCAAACGAGTGTGAGAGAAGAACCCATATTCTATTGAATTATGTCCGCAGTAATATATTTTTAATTTTATCCAAATAATTTTGTTTATTCAAACAATTGAACGTAGCTAACTTTATCAAATTATTACTAATTATTTGGTATAAACTTTTTCATTCTATAGATGATTCACATTGGTATGGTATTACAATCATTGTTCATTAGTATCTGAGCAAGTAGAAAGACTTGAAACTGATCGGTGATAATAAGAAACTTTGTAGATGATCACTCTAGTTGCCAATTTTTACAGTTTGTGTTTATTATTTCATACGTGTGAAGTTATTGCACAGAATGAAAGCTTTGTGAACGAAATAAAAGAAGAAGAAAATGTACCCTGAGAAAAAGCTATGCATGGGATGTTGATATGCAGTAGTTCCAGAAGCTGTTGGTACAAAGAAATCCCGGTATATAGCTGAGGAAACAGCCGAGGCGCCGAGACTTGTCGATGGTTGTGTTTGCAACGGAATACCTTCACTTTTTACACCAGGTATATACTTTGGATCCATTCCAGGTGCTCCACTAAAACGTGAAACAGTTGGCGTTGAACACTCCTAAAACATTTGGAGGCATATGTGATCTCATAAACTAAATTAGTAGGAATTCAAAAAGTCACTTACAAGAAAAGAGAATCAGTATTTGACGCTTGATTTGAGGTACTTTTTAAAAAATTTCAATTATAAAAGTGATTAAATGAAACAATATTAAGGTACTATTATTAATGTTTTAATTAATGTATTATCAGCATGAAAGATTAACTTTAGCAATTTTAGACATGAAAATAATTTTTTTAAACATTATTCACTTTGACAAACGTCAAATAAAATTTTATGTTTTCATTTCATACATTATCACTTGCTGATTAGATATCTGATATTGAAAGTGACAGTTATTCAAATAATGATAAGAATGAGGTCATATACGTTTGAGAAACTGCATTACTATGATTTTGCTGTGTTCTTGCAATTTAAAAATCGACTTTACAATCGACATGTCAGCTTTGTTTAAGTGATTACTAATATCTTGACTCTAATAATACTATCAGTGCTGTCAATACTTGAAAATAATTGAAAAAGTAAAACGTTCGATCCCAATCTAATCAATTGATCAGTTGCTTGATACAGAGCAAAACTGACGTGATCAACTCAGTTATTAGACTAATTTAATTTATTTTTGATATTAACTTCAATTTCATTTATTAGCATTTCAGATTTACTTTTCTGTCAATTAATGTGATAAATTAGACTAAAAAATATTAGCTATTTAATCTGCCTTTGGAACAAGTATAGCACATTAAGCATTATTCTTAGCTGATCGAGAATCAGAATATTGCCAATAGCTCAATCCATTTTTTAATGATTACAAATGGAATGAAATATGAAAGGAAATAAAAAACTTAATTAGCATCAGAACGGAAAACAAGAAAAGAGATAATTAAAACAGTTTCTATTCTGTTTACTTTCTTCACTTCCACATCATCCAAATTGTGAGGCAAAATGAAATGAAAGTTTTTCGCTCTTAAATTGCTTATTACTTATCTTTCTATTATTCATATTTGCTTCTGTTTGTTTATGCGCAAACTTTTTCAAATTCACTGCATCAACAATAAATTTCAGAAACAAATATGAAATTAAAATTAACTCGTCTGTGATCAGTCAACTTTTTGAACTAATTACTCCACTCGTTTTGTTTCTGATTATGAAAACAATATCAATCTTTTCAAATACAAATATTCAAATTAATTTAGCGCTGATTTTATTTAATTGAAAATTATTTTTTCTACCCACTGTTATGTTAATCAATTAATCATTCAGTGCTGAGTAAATTTACTAATCTAATATTACTGTTGTAGAAGTTAGAAAGTTACAAGTAAGTGCTAGTAATAAGTAATAAAATAGAAAAAAATAATACAATAGCACTGCGAAAATAAGCAAATTTTCTTTGCTATAACAACAAAATTGACTTTTCTGACATAATAATCTCATAATTTTGAAATATATAATAGGAAAAGTGATTTTTAGTAAAAAAGCAAATATATTTTTGTGATTTTAAATCTTAAAAGAATTATTCTTAAAATACTATACAATTCTTAAACAGCTTTTTATGAATTTTAAAGTGCTCAAAAATCATCGAATGAATCTTAAAGACTTTTGAATGCATTTGTTTTCACATTAACATATTAGTAAACAAAAACATCACTTGTAAATTCACATATTCATTCAAGCATCAGATTTTGATGCCCTATTCGAGCGTTTAACAATATTCAAACTCCTTGTCATTGTTTCCGCTTACTATCACTGATTTTAAAGATTACAAATTTTTTAGTAAAATGAAAAATCAGTTCTGAGCATTTTTTCAAATGCATAAATTGTTGCTAAGGTAAAAAAAGTTATCTTAAATGACATTTTAGGATTTATTTGATCGTCAGATGTTAATTGATAGGAAAGCAACAGAAGTACTGATTAATAGTGTAAGATACACTCATCTCTATATTTAATTATGTCCAGGTGTTATTATATCATTTCGACTTAGACAGCAAAGTAAAGGTTGTTCAAGTAAAGAAGTGACAAATTGTTATGATTATTTTTAATTGCAGTTTCTTCTAACTTTTACTTGTCATTAAAGGATGATAATTAGGCAAAACCTTATTAGAGTTCGCTTTTTTTATTCACTAATTGTTTCAATAAATAATGCTTTGCAATGCAAAATATTTTAAGACAAAAATATTTGCAAAATTGGTGCGACATTAGCAAAATACATACTACTACATACAGTTGGAAAGGTGTGAGAAGTGGATAATAAATATATGGTTGTGAGACACTTTTTTAAACTGGATCCCTATGAAGATGAGTTTCGATCATTCAGAAGAAACTGCTATGAAGTAGTGCTGTCTTCTTCAGTACAACACTGTTCTGAATAATCGTAAAGGAAAGTGTCAAGCAGTCGAAATTTGTTGCAAAAATTTTCGATAACTGTATAAACAGCTCAAAAAAATGCAATAACCAACTACAATTTGTTTGTTTTTTCACTTTAAAAATTTCAAATCTGTGAGATAAAATAATAATTAATTAATAGCAGTTAATCAGTAATAAGTAAATTGCAACAGTTCTAATTTTATAGCGTGAAAAACATTTGCAAAATGATCACTGAACGCAAAGGCGAAGGTGAAGAAATGGATGAATGCAAAAAAGGATAAAATGTGCAAATTAGTAAAGGTTAATTAGTGGAATATTCTTGTAATATTTATTTGACATTAACTGCTTCATAAATGCAAATTTGTGATAGCAAACTAATGTCAGCACAGCGCAATAATATGAATTCTATAAGTTAGATTTATGATGACACTAACAACAAACGTAGACATAGTTCTATGTTATTGATGAGATTCACTGCAATTGCATCATTAATAACAATAAATAGATTGTATCAGTTCCGTTAGATACCGAAGAAATTAAAAAAAGTATTATTTTCATCAATGACGTCTTACGCAGTTCCGTCCGTCAAGTAAACCCGAACCTTAACTGCAATATATCATAAAAGTTCGATTACAAAAACACTAATTATGTTGATTGGAAATATATAACACGATAAATTTTCATTTTTGCGAACTAAGTGTTTGTTTTCGAAGATGAAAAACAAATACACAACAAAAATTAAAAACAAGAAATAAATTAATAATTAGTCCAATGTAACTCTGACATTAATAGGACTAAAGTAAATGCTAACTGACTTCGTATATATTAAACAATTGTCAAAAAAACTTAATTAGCTGAACAATTATATGGCATATTTAATTATGATTTGAATATAGTTATGATAGCTGAGACAGAAAGCTTAACTCGAAGTAGTAAGATTGAAACTTTCGTTAAAATGTAAACGTCATTTCGAGCTCAATTTTACTATCAGAAAGTGAACAAGTTAACACAATTTAAACTAGTCAAAAGTATTATCAGTGCTAGCTGGCAAGTTTAGTCTTGAATATATCAGTAAATGATTAAGTAAGTCAACTTCAGTTCTTTCAAAATAAACAGAATTGTTTAAAGTGTAGAGAAATGTTCACAAGTAAGCACATTAGGTCAGCTGCCAGAAAAGATACATTTCTAAAATGGTTAGTAGCAAAAGTAACAGAAAGGTGTGCTCAAAAACTAATTCGCTTTTAGCAGGCTTTCTCCATCTCCTTCTCATATAAATATATTATTATTATTATTGTCATTATTATTATTATTATTATTATTATTAT